TGGGGCAGGGACAAGATCTAGACCACAAGAACAAGGTCCTAACCATGAGCACTTTCTGCTAAGACCAATCAAGACGAGGTTTCATTAAACATAAGACCTCAGGGGTGGTTTTCTCTCCTGGGCTCTTAGACTTTTTTCCTGTCTGTCCAAAACACAAGTCAGGCTCGTGCTTCCAAATAGGCATGTGAAATGTGCTCAGACATCTCCAAGTTCACTCAAGTCACCACTTAGGTTGAGAGCACCCAAGCATGTAACACCCTGTGTCAGATTAAGTCCACAGTGGTTGCTTGCCATCCATATTTAATTTTGTCAGTCTGTTAATTTTTAACTATGTTTGCTATCAAAAGCCATTAGAGGTCCCAAGGAGCTGAGCTCAGTGAAGCGGGTAGAACTTTGTGGCGGAGAATGCATGAAGCTCGAGGTTGGGGTGTCCCACTTTCCCATCATGTCACTGAGTTCTGGCCTTCCCACTGGCAGCACAAATCCTGAATAAAACATGATCCCATTTGGAGTTGATTTTCCTTTTCCCCCTTGTCACAACTGGTTTTCTTCAAGGAAAAGTTCACTTTCTCCTTTGCAAAGATTACATTGTGTAATTCCAAAGTTTTTCTGTCACCTCTGGTTTGTTTTCAAGCAGTTAGAATTCATATACTCTAAGATGGTGCCTGGGTTCTTGTACTATGGAAGGGCCTCAAATTCCTGGTGGATGGCCCCAAAAAGTGGCTTCCTCTTTTGTCCTGCTCTAGCTGCTCTTCTTCCTAACCAAAGAGCAAAGCCCAAACCCTTAAGTTTCTCTTGTCTGGTCCTGGTCCAAAGTCCATGTTTTGTGTGTTCCTCACACTTATTAAGAGGGCCATACCAGAACCCCTTCTGACAAAGGGAAGGTAGTGGAAGAGCTGTTTTAATAATAATGACTATTTTATGCAAAACACTTTATTCCTTTCTACAAATGAACTCTATGAAATAAGTGTTCATTCCTCTCATGTATAGATAATGAAATCGAGGCTCATCAAGGTTAAAACTCGCCTAAAATCTCAAGTTTAGTAGAGAAGGTAGAAACTATCATGAGAATCCTGTTTGTTTGATTTAATGAGTCCTAATTAGGTGTCTGGCTGTCTGCAATATGCAACCGACAGCTGGTCCACACATTTGCTGATAATCCCAAGGAAGGAGTAAATTCACAAACAGTACTTACAGGCAAGGCATGGTGGCCCACACCTGTAATCTCCACTGCTGGGGAGGCTGAGGCAGGAGGATCATAAGTTCAAGGTTAGCCTGGACAACTTACTGAGGCCTTGTCTCAAAATAAAATAAAAAGGGCTGAAAAATTAGTTCAGTGGTAGAGCTCCGCTGCATTCTATTCCCAGTACTGCAAAAAGGGAAAAAACAAAAACAAAACAAACAAACAAAAAATACCAAAAAACCCAACCCACCCCACATTACTTACAGGTATGACTCGGGCCTGGGCTCATACTGCCAATAAGGTCAGAGAAAACCTGTATAAGATCCATCGGGTTTAGTTATACACTGAGGACAAAATGGGACATGCTTAAGAACTCTGGAGACAGTACAGACACTGAAGGTAGCGCTGCTGTGCCCTCAAAGGTTGCCATTCTGAGTCAGCTCCTGTCTTGGCAATGACACCACTGATCTCTAGGGAAGTCTTCTTGGGCTCAGTGACCCTGACCAGGGCCACATGGACACACACTAGGTGACTGATTCTGGTTTCTGTGACATGTCAACTACCTAACACTACCTGTTATGGGAAGGTTTGGCCCTTGATTGTAGCTACTCTGGAGCAAATGTCCCTAAAAGACCAAGAAAAATGACTTTGGATTGCTTTTAAAGAGACCAGTGCCAATGCTTATATCTCTCATTTCTAACTAAGGGGCTTCTTAGTTCCACAAATACCAGAGCAGATGAGGAGAAAGGATGGACAGGGTCACAGGGAGAGAGTATTTGTTTGGCCAGGAGTGGGATCCCCTGGATTTCAGTCATAGCACTATAAAGAAAAGAATCCCCCAAGGCTCAAGACCTAAGTCTGCTGCCTGGAAACGAAACTGGGCAGAATTGTTGGGAGACTGTGGGAAGAAAGCACCAGAGGCCCAGGGAGGAATGAGCTGGGTGACCCACAGGTCCTTCTCTTCTCCAGTTTCTGATAGGAAAGCAAGATAAGGCAGCAGCTGGAAAGTTCAGGGACAGCAGCTCTGTGGAAAGCAACAACAAGCACTGTTGAGTCTCTCTGGGATTTCAGCCATTTTCCACTCTTGTTTCCTGTCAGGGAGAGGTTTTCTGCTGGCAGGCGTGTCCCCAGCATGGCTGCGGGGAAACTTCCTTTCAGGGACAGGTTCTCCAACTACTGGCACAGCTGTGGAAATCATGCTGCTGGATGTGGAGCAGGTGCTGTCACTTGGCGATGTTGGGGCACTCTGTCATTTGATACCTCATCTTACTCTGGTCCCTCATTCTTTCCATTTGATACAGGAGGGCTCTGCAGCCCCATTACTGTCATCAAAACATACTGCATGTCCTCCGGATTTTAATTACCACTGCCCTATAGGCAACTTGGATTTAGTCCTAGATTTCCTTCTCCTTATTGAAAATTCAAAAACTCATGGGAAAGGCTACCTTTTAAAAACAAGCAAACAAAACATCCCCAAGAACAAAAAAACATTTTGTAAGCTCTTAATGTGTGCCAGATACTATTAAGTCTTTTATATGAGGAATGATTAGCTACATTTTTCTGAAGCTCAGATGGGTTAAAGAACATGTCATCATGGCCATACAGATTGCAAATGGTAGAACCATGCTTTCAGCTCTGTCTGGAATTAAAAAAGAAAAAGCAGCATCTTGTAATGCTCCTGATGGGCTCAGTTCATAGCACAAGACCTGGCCAACAGGTCTGGGTAAAGGAAGGGGACCTTGGTGTTCTTAATAATTGGAAGAGGCACCAACCACAGTCACAGGAGACTAATGCTGTGAGGACAATGTCTGGTCTTCCTGCCCCTATCTTCTGTAATCACTGAGCAAGATGTTCTTAGCCTAATAAGGCAAGACTGGCCCAGTCAAAGAGTTGGGGCACTCAAGGAATTCTTTCTCCTCATAGTCTGGCCTCAATGAGCTTCAGGTTTAGAGTGAAATGTAACTGTCAGAGGATTAGCAGTTTGTTTCATCAATGCCTGAAGACAACTTAAAGCTTTGGGTCTTTTGGACAGCTGCAAGCAGCAGCTTTGGAGGCCAGACAATTTACCCATGGGAGAGTCAAGCTTGAAAGACAAGGGAGCCAGGGCTATGAGCTGACAGGATCTGAGATTCACAGAAGTGACCAGAATCTCCCTTACTTCTGAAAGCCAGGCCTGTATGTGGTGATAAAGCCCCTACCTATGTGTTGGAGTTTGAACACAGGTCCCACAGGAACAGCCACCATTATAACACTAGCTATTGCCTGATGAACAGGAAGTACACACTGGGGGTGGGAGGCTGAAGGGGTTGGGAGGGAAGACTCCTTGCCATGTGAGTTATACCAGGCACCTGGGTAGGAAAGCTGCTATGGAGGCAGGTGATTACCAAGGGGCTCTGTGCATGGTTGGGTCTACATTCCCTCTCACACTCTTCAGACTTGCAAAACAAGACTCTGTGTTTTATCTTTCTCAATATTCTCCACAGAACAGTAATGACAGAGGAGATGCTTAGTGAAATTTGTGTTTTAAAAAATTCTCTAATCCAGTTCTTGGAAGCTGCACTATGAAGCTGAGTAAATGCTTAGATGTGGTGGTGTTGGGGACAGCTCTGCAGTGCAGGCAACCCACATGCTAGTCCTAGGCCCACCTCTCCCTTTGTGATCTCCCTGTCCTGCCTGCCTATGTCTCCTTCCTCATGGTCCACTTCTGTATTTACTGAGATTAACCTTTAAATTTTTTCCAGTGTGCCACAAGGGGCCTCCCAAGGGGCACACCTCTAAGAAGTCTGTGTTGTAACTTTGCCTCAAAATCTTCTGTTTCTGCAGTACCAGTCATGCTCCAATCACAAACTGTACAATAGCCTGTGTGAGTTCCAAAATACCTGCTGAAACTTGGGCAAATGAGGCCTTTGGAGAAGCAGTAGGGAACCAGGATTTTCTTTCCCAGGCCTACCTCCCTGCAAAATTATCTGACCCAATTTTGTGATTGACTCTAGAGGAGAGTAATTGGTGCTGGATTTCTAGAATGTGGAGAGGACTATACACTTTCTCTGTCCCATGAGCAACAAGACTAAAAGCAGAGATGTGTGAGCATGAGGTGATAGGAAGTGCTGTATGTTATCTTTAGACCTTCCAGAAAGTAGTGGATGAAACCTTCCTACATATTTAATACAATTCAAAGATCAATGGCCTTCATAGTGAACTAGACAGTCACTTCTAAAAATGTTGATGACGTTTAATACACGAGGTTATACTTTTATCCCCCCAAATAATAAGGTGCTACCAGTGTGCAGTCCTATTACCATAGCCAGTTGTTTCTGAAAAAAGGAATTGATTGCAAAAAGTATCTTCAAATTAGAACTGGAAAATCTGAGGGGGTGCCAGATCATGACTAAAATATAGGCAGAACTAGAAATGTGACCTAACTCTGTTTTAATGACAACTTCCGTTTCCTCAGTCCTCTTTCCACTGGGTCACAACTGATGAACTGGAAAACACATCCACTCTTTGCAAATGGGCTTCTGCAGGCTAGATACACTGTCCTTCCTGAAGTGAGATGTCCTGGCAGTTGAGAAGGCTGGAATGAGAATCTTCTAGTATGCAGCTCATAGTGGTTCAGGAGCCCAAGAAGATACGTGCAGCAGTGATGAGGCCTGGGTTCTGGGGCCTGGTCTCCCCAGTGTGCTTTTTCTGAGTCCTTCTGTGTAACACATTTAGCTGTCATGGGCCCAATTCTCCCAAAACCTCAGTCAGAGAGCAACAATTTTGCTTCAAAATTTCATCACCATAAAAACAAAACGCTGTAGTCTACTTGACATCATTTTTTGCTCTGATTAAAATTTTTATTGAAATCTCTCAAATGTTGCCAAGAAATAGTTTTTGCAAAAGGGGGAAAAATAGCTAACAGACAAATTCAACATGGGAGCTCCCTCTGCTGGTCTGCAGTAGGTTGATATGTGACAAACACATTCCCAGAGACAAATCTAATTTGCTGGAGAAGTGGACAAAAGACAGGTGTGTTGGGCTTTGCCTCAGGAGAGAAACACTAGAAGAAAAAAAAAATCCATGTCTCAAAACAGAGCACAACATTGCTAAGAAAAGCAAAATTACTTAGAAGACTCTCCAAAGACATTATAAAATTTCCAAAACAAAAACTGAATTATCCACTAAGGGGGGAGGCTCCACCTGGAGCTTCCCCACTCTGTTCTACCTCCAGTTAGTAAGGTTCTTTGAGGCCCTTTGGGTGCAGGTTAAATGCTGATTCCCTTGTCTTTGCCTCCAAGTCTCTTCTTATAGGTTTCCCATCTAAAGTTCCAAGGAGTCACTGGATTGAGGCCTCTCCAAAATTCCATTAAATAAGTCTTTTGGTAAGCCAGCCTCGGAGTAGAAAGGGATAGGCCTGGGAGTCAGGTGACCAAACTAGGTCTAGTCATGGTAGAGCCACTGTGACTTTGGGTAACTCTTTCCATCTTCTCGGGCCTGTTTCCTCATCTGTAAAATGGGTCAGACCAGCTCATCTGTAAAGCTTCTATCAGTTCACTCTGTGAGTCCCAGAATTGACTAAGACATTTAAATAACCATATTCATGAATGAATCTTTGGGATACAGAGTCCAAGGTTGCATTGGGAATGACTCCAAACAGGAAGAGGGGTGAAACACATGGATCTCACTGATATTGGATGAGAGTTCACCAAATCTAAGACCGATGTGGCAGATTCCAGGCTGGGAAAGTCTCAAGGCCAAGGAAGAACTCCCAGGGGAGGGCACCATGTGGGCAATGCATCCCATTTATTCAAATAGGTCAGTCCATCTAATCTTGCACTGTGTCTCCAGCTTCCCTTACAATGGTGGAGGCTTACTAATCCCTTAAGATTCATTAGGTCCTTCTCCTACACATGTCCCCAGGATCACTTCTGATTTCATTTGTTACATGAATGAAGCAATGGCAGATGTCACAGCCCAAAGTCACTATTCCCAGACCTTTTTGCTCACTGTCAACTTTTGATTCTCCAAGGAAATGGTGACTAACCAAAGCCATGGGCATTCAGAAGAGTATGCAAACTTGTACTGTTTCATGGTATTTATTAACAATGGCCTTAACTGCCAATCTGAGCCATCTAGCAAATGGAGACACAATATCCAGATTGGTGGTGGTGATGGAGGGGAGCAATAAAAGGGGCTCTTTCATTGCTCCTCATTATTTACAAAGTCACCCAGACTACTATAAACATATTGATGACTCAGCAGAAGACTGCCACAGGCTTACATCTCCCTCCCTCCTGTTAGATGCCAGCTGCGAGGGTTACAAGCAATGACATGGACAGAAAGTGGCAAAGCAGCAGAGGAAGGGAAACCAAAAGGCACAGCTACTCCTCTAATTTTTTTTCTGTGCCAAGAAGCTTCTCTGCCACTATCTAAATCTTTTTATAACTTTATTTTATTTATTTATTTTTATGTGGTGCTGAGGCCTGAACCCAGCACCTCACACGTGCTAGGTGAGCGCTCTACTGCTGAGCCACAACTGCATCCCCCATCTACATTTTTCTTTACTACTTTTTACCTTTTCCTCCCAACACAGAGGTCAATTGCTCTCAGGAGTCCAGGAACTGAGGAATAGCCCCAGAAGCCAGGTCACTAGTACATGCAGAAAGCATTGGTAATTAGTTGCTTAACATACACTCCTGACCTCACAGCTTTGGAGAAGCCTACTTAGGGGCTACTTGCAGGTGACTCAGTCAACATAGTTCTGTCCAATGTGAAAAGTGTTTTAAGTCAGAAAGAAGAATTTTCTGGGAAACTGTTTATTCCATCCAGCCTTGTAAACAAATATTACCCAATAAAACAAAAACCATACCTGTCCAGCCTGACAATTTTTTAAAAACCAGGCTGAGGTTTTAAAAACTTATGTGGGAAGACAAATATTCTTTCTCTTTTATTTTGGTGTGCTGGGGATTGAACCCAAGGTCTTATACATGCTAGGCAAGTGTTCTACCACTGAGCTACATCTCCAGGCTCTATATTCTTACTTTTTATTTGCTATTGATCATTACTCTCTGAAGGCCAAAGAATGAGTGGTTATTTCCAACAATGGATCTTAACAATGATTACTACTACTACCAGCACTAAAAACAAGGCTCAGAGAAACATTTTCTCCAAGAAGAGAGGAAGTGTTAGTATGCAGAGTCATCTCTGGGGAGAAACAGGGAGTTTGTTTATAAAACTCAGGCTATTCTTAACTAAGAACGAAAGTTGGGCAGAACAGAGATCTCTACTTTAACTTGTAATTACATTCTAAATACTATATTGCACCCCCCCTACAGGGCTTCAACATGGGAACAAGGAACTCTTCATCTTTCCTGTAATCAGTGTAAAAAAACGCAGTCTTCCTCTTGGAAGTTTCTCTTCTGGTCCTTAGATCCTCATGGGAAACAACAGCAGAAGCCTCTCAACACACAGATACACACACAGACACACATAACTTCAAGTATACTCCTCCCTCGGTAACCCTTCCTCACGAAAAGGCAGACATATCTATGCTTGGGTGATGCCCTCTAGCTAGCTGGGAGCCAGGGAGGTGACCTTGCCCCAGTCTCTCGTGTAAGATGAGGGTGAGATCATTAAGGAAGAGAGAGGTGTTTGGGGGGATAAACATCAGGCAGTGGGTGGTATCATTGCTGTCAGACGCTCCTCGTAAGTCCTGGAGGGGTGTCAGCTTGATGTAGAGGGGATCATTCATCTCCTGAAGGTGGATCTGTTAGCTGGATAGGTGTTAGTTGTATGGTGTGCTCTGGGGAACCAGGTTTGAAAGGGCTGGTGGTGGAGTGAGTGAAGTCGTGGCCGATGGGTATAAATTACCTGGGCATGCAGTGAAGCGGGATAGGTGAAAGCAGGAGGAGGTAGAGCAGGCGCTAACTCCGCTGGGTACAGAGGGTACGGGGCCCACACTTCAGGGCTACTGGGGTAAAGTGCAGGCACTGTGAGCTCATCTGCAAGAAAAGAATAAGGGAAGAGTTAGTGGTTACCAAACAGCTGCTTTCACATCAGAAAACAAAATACCCAGTAACCCCAAGACCCAACCAATGTCAGAAGTCAAATTATTCTCATTCTTTTAATAACCTGTTGGCTTTTGTCCCCAAACTCAAAGCAAGAGAACAGTAAATACAAAATAAACAAAGCAACAAGCCTCTGCTGCCTGACTGGCCTGCTGATACCTTAGGCCTGAACTCAGCCTTTGACACTCTGATGTCTTTCCAACCATAGCCAGGGAACCAAAGAAGAGTGGGAATTTCCTGCACAGACCAGAAAATGTGTCTGATGAGCAGAAGGAAGAGAGAGGAGATATCCACCAGGAGACATTCCATGAGAACCCACTGCAGAGCCTTTGGTAGAATAATGGTTTATTGGCATAACCCAATAACTCAGAATAAGTCCAGAATATTGTTCTGTTTATCAGCATAATTACAACTGACAAATAAATCACGATCAAGCATTTTCCATTTAGCCTTCAGAAGTACAGAACCAAACACTAGAACCTTAGGGTATTTAGATGTTAAAAATTCAGAGAATGGAAGTGAAGAATTTTGAGAATCCTAATTAAAGTTAGGCTCCACAAAGATGCAAATAAGCATGTTTACAGGTGTGTCTGCTCTGAGCATATTTTCTAGGAAGAAAAGTGAGTTGTGTTGCCAACTGCCGGGTCTAAATGTTCCTTGTGTAGTTCCAGTCCATTCAGGTGAAGCTGCAGTTTGTCAGATTGAAGGGCAAATGGCTGGGACTCCCTGTGTATCAGGAAGCAATCCATTAAAGTAACAGAAAACACATGAGTGAGCTTCTCAGCAAAGGCAAAAATAACATCAGTCAATAGTTATGAAATGTGGACCCTGTGAAGCAGCAATCTCAATACGTGCTTTTATCACCTGTCAAAATCTGAAACCAGTGCACCAAGGATGCTATCTAGGACTGCTGAGGGAGCCAGGATAAGGTGACTTGATAAAGCCATTAGAAACACCACTGAGGACTTTCCAAAAGTCCATAGGGCATGTGATCCAAGGCCAAGATAGTCACATCATCATATCTTTCCATTGTCTCTAATAAGCCTTCCCAGGCCTGCTATCTTCCACATCCTTCCCATACCTGGAAACTCTGGTTCTGGATGCAATGGATTCCACAAGGGAAGTGGGTCAGGAACAGAAAACTGCTTTGCTGGATGTGACATGCTGACTACCAGAAAGCAGTAGGCCTGGGGGTGGATGTGGAAGAGATGTGTACAGGGTAGGTGAGACTTTGACAGCCTGCATTGCAAGAGCTTCTCATAGGATGGGAGGGAGTCATGAGCTGATTGGTATCTGTCCATTCAGAGGGCAGTTCATATTCATTTCCAGACATAATGCATCCGAGTGGTGTGGCTTTTTTCATAGGCTATAGCTGACTGGCCTCCCTGACTCCCTCCCTCATCACAAGGTAGGAAAGCATCTCAGAAGCTGGTGATGGGAACAGACAGTCTAGGTGTTGAGGCTAGAGGGGCCAACAGACTCCCAAGTCTTTTTAGAAGGGTCAAGTCCACACCACTTACTTCAAGTTCTAGGATATATGGAGGTCAATGCTCAGGAAATCTTCTCAGAGGGGATTTCACAGACCCCTGTGTTTCCTCTCATGATGAGGCCACATGCTTTCCATTACAGCAATTCTTGTGGGAGCCCAGCTAGTGGAAACTGCTGCCAGGAACAGGGCCTTGGATTTTAAACAAACACTACTCTCTGCAATGGCCAGCTATTATTGTTGTTATTGTTATTTTAGCTACTACGCTATTTTAAGACATTGAGAGTCTTTTTCTAAAAGTCAAGAGAATCTCAGGCCCAAGTACACTAATCCCTAGCTGGTATTTGTCAGGCCTGCCATGATAGCAGAAGACCACAGAGCTAATACTAGCTGGCAGAAGGAAAGACCAGCAGAGGGATGTGGTTGGCATGTCAGTGAGCCTTCACACAATCAGTGGGTACTTGAAAGTTTGAAAAATGAAATATGTCCTTTAAGATATCTGGTCCTAATGAAATAATGAAGGTAAGGCAGAATCAGGTTTCAATCTTAGTCCAACTGATGAAATTTATGATTTCCAGGTCGTTCTACATTTTACCTGAAGCATTATTTCTCATTAGGTTTACACTGATGCTCAGAAACAATTCACTGATTAACATTTGCACAAAACTAGCCCAGCAAAATAGGATTTGCTTTGAAATTCCCAAACTCAAAGTTGCTGAGCAAAGGCCTAGATGGGATTAAGGTGAACATTCACTTGATAAGCCCCTGGTATATCCAATCATCCCCCTCTTCCCCTCCTCTAGGAATTTGTGGTTATGGTGAATGTCAAAGAACATGTAATGAGCAGGTCAGCATCACACCTGCCAAGCAGGTTTCACAGACATCTCCATTTTAGCACAGGGCTGAGAACTCTCCAAAATGACATATCCACTCATTTGAGGGAAGAGAGCATTAAGCAGAAGGAGTGTTTTGCATGTGGATACTCTTTCTGGTTGCTAATGTGGTCTTAAGAAAAATCACAAAAGCTAAAGAAGCAGGTTTTCCACAGCATGAATACTTCACAGGGACTAATCAGCCAAAGGAGCAGACAGAGGCAGGGTGGGTGACACCTTCCCCAGGTCCATCCAGCTCTAGTTTAGCAGGAGCAGGAGAGAAAAAAGCAGGCCCAGTGGGAAGAAATGAGTTCAGGAGGCATTGAGATTCCTTTGGACAAAAGAGGCTCTTGACCACCCAGGGTGAGCCAAGCTCAAGTGAGCTGAAAGAGGACAGATAATGAGGCTGGGGTCTTTTTGTCTGGGCCTAATCCCATCCTCCTGAGAAACTGGGTAAATCCTTTCCCATTGTCCCAGATCTCCTTATATCCTTTTTTTCTTTTGCACCTTCTGAGGATAATGTTGTTAGGGGCTCTCAATATACATCTGAATAGGTTTTTTACTTAGCCCCTAGAATATGCAACCAGAGGAGTTCAAACTGGATTCTGAAAAACAAGGAGGAGAAACTTGCAACTCTATCTTTCCATCCCTTTGAAAAGCCAGTCCACTTTTCTACTTCAGATGGGGACAGAGCCAGAAAGGTCTTCCAAATCAAGGCCATCTCAAAACAGAGGTAAAGAGGAATGATTCTTACAGGCAACTGAGAGTGATGAAGAAGAAAATCCTTAATGGACTTAAGGTCCAAGAACTTTAAATCAGTATTTATTCTGCCTCCTAGAAAGTTTTGTTTGGAAGTATATACAACCTCATCTCAACATACTCCAAACTAAATATGCCACCTTCAACAGCTGGTCATTCTAGATTTCAGTAAAAGATGCTACTTTCTACTCCATGCCCAAATCAGACCTGGTCCTCACCTCCTTCTCCTTCACATTTAAACTTTCTCTAGATCTATCCCATTATCCACTCTGATTTTAACCATCAACAGTTACCAAAAAGGTCTCCTGACAGTCTTCCTAGTCATCACACTGAAGTCACCACAACTTTCAAAATATAAAATTCAGCCATGCCACTTTCCCTCTTAAAACCCTCCTGTGAGTTCTCCTTGCTGTTGGGACATAAGTCATAGCCTAGAAAACCCCACATGGTCTGATCTTTGTTGGTCTCTCCAGCCCTGCCTGTCACCTGGTTCTGCCTGTAATCTAGGATCAGTCATTTCCTGTGTGACCACACTGACTTTTCTCCTGTTTCCCAGAACTCCCACACAATACTCCTTCCCCCAGAGGCATTCTTCTCTCATCCTGTCACCTAGCATTAACTCTTCAGAGGACTTACTTAGAGGCCATACCCTTGAGGCTTCCAGAAGTGCCTTCCCCATGCTACAGTGTGTCCTGTACCCCTCACCCTCCCAATAACAGCATTACCTCATGAGCAATAAGCTCCTATTCTGGCTTACCTAGTGTCTAGCACAGTACTATTAGAGAGTCAACTGTCTGCGGTGAATTGATGGAGATGCCTTCAGAGATGGAAATGATCAACTTGTGGTCTTGAGAGAGAAGTATGCACATATGGGCACCAGAATCTAAAACTCTTAGAGTCAATTTAAATGGAACCCAGGTCTCTTATCTCACTGTTCAGGGTCCTTCCATATACCATCCTGCCCTCTCCAGGGGTGGGTGAAGCCCCACAACAGGTGGTGGTAGGAGGGCTCCTATAATGCAGTGGTCTTTTTCTATAGCTTTCAGCATACTCAATTTACTATAATAAACTCAGGGACAGAGTATTATTGGAGAACTGGCATGGTAAATGAAGAATTTGGCCAGGAAAAATAGTGGCCTTTACAAAGAAAATCCAAATGTGATGAAAAATTCTATTTTTTAATAGAAAAAAAAACCAAAACACCCAATTTTGAAACAAGAAAATAAATCAAGGATTCTGTTAGCAATCAATTCTCACTTGCAATTACTTAGGATGTAGCTAGTTAAAATCTACTCTTTCGGGCTGGGGTTGTGGCTCAGTGTTAGAGTGCTTGTCTAGTATGCATGGGGCACTGGGTTCGATCCTCAGCACCACATAAAAATAAAAAAAATAAATATTGTGTCCACCTTAAAAAAAAACCTAGAAAAAAAAATATATATATATTTTAAATCTACTCTTTCAAAGACTGGTGTATTAGTACATGCTCTTCTAGTGTTAGAACCTCAAATTGCAGCTCATGCCAGCTCTGATGGTCCAGGGAAATGCACATGAGCTCCTGTAATGGATTGAATAGTGTTGGCTCAAAATTCAAATTCACCTGAACCCTCAGAATGCAGGCACTTAAGGTAGAAACAGGGTCTTTGGAGATGTTATAATTGAAAGATCTTGATAGGATGGAGGCAGACACTGGAACCATGTGTCTACCAGCCGCAGGATGCCAGATTGCCAGCAGCCACCAGGAATTATGACACAGGCTTCTCCCAAAGAGCCTCCAGAAGGATCAACACTGCTTATCCCTTGATGTCAAGACTTCTGGC